CCCTCATCAGCTCTCTATCTGCTTTTTGGAAGTCTGAATTAATTCCTATGGATTCACTTCAAAACAAATAAAGCTCATGAGAGCTTAGGCCTCTCTTTTACCCATTCTTTAAATTCAAAGCAGAGAGGAGCAAGATTGCTTACCAAAGCAACAAGGCCTTCGATTCAGCAATAGAATCATTTTCTTTGACAATGGCTTCTTTGGCAGATATTAGTTCGAAAAGAACAACCCCAAAAGCATACACATCTACCTTAGGAGAAATGTCGCCATACTGAGCATATCTGCACAAAAGCGTCGTGTAAGTTTACCAATTGCCTGGAAGAATATAAAACTAACAGCAATCTCTTTTTCAACTAGAAGGGATAGCACAACATCTCCCTTGGAAATACACTCTCAAGGAGGATGGAAGTGTCAAATTTACAACTCATACAATTCCCCAAGAACAAAAAAAGAGATTGTCATTTGGATGGTCTGGACATTTGAACCTAAGACGTATGTATGACAAGGAAGGGAGGGGCAAATCTTGTTCAAGGCAATAAAATTGTGAGAACCACGATGAATTTTTTCTGATGTAGCAAAAACATGGCCTCAAAAAAAAAGTGGATGTTTATGTAACGGTGAAAACTTGCTTCGATCCTAGACTACAGGAAGATATGGCCCCGGCATTAACAAAGAATGATGATTTAAAGAAGCTGAATCTATGGAATTGAAACACAAAGATCAATGCATCTAGTTTTTCACCATATCTGCAAATGTACCCAAGTGATGCACATATTATTTACAACAATTTTGGGTTTGGATTTGATGCTCTTACAACTTAAAAGACATATTCACTTTGAAATACCAGAATCACATTGAATTATAGACAAAACAGAATGACCACCAAAACCTCTCAAAGAAAACTGATAAAAATAGGTTTGGTGAGCTATGTGAATTTTCTTCTCTTTTCATATATTACTTCAATGAAGACTTTAAACAATATATCTATCTCAGAAAACGTCATAACTAGAAACAAAACAGGAAATCAAGTATCAGAATTCCTTGGACAGAATTGGACCATGTGTGTTCCATTCAATTTCAATAAAGATGCCTTACTTTTTATTCTAGGTAATCATGCTCACTTCATTAGAAACTTTTCTGACTTCACTAAACTTAGTCTTATGTCTCGCACGGACCAGTCTTCTTCTCCCAGATATTCCCCACTCCTGAGAAATCATGGCCCCTTAATCGACAAGTGTGGAACAACTTTTTTTGCGTACCTCATCTCTAATTTCCGGACTCAAACTTCTAACTTGTGGTTTCATGGAAAATATTTATGGCAACAGCTTGAACTATTTTTAATTTTTACCCTAGGTTTCAATTGGCATCTATAACTTATCTGTAAGTTAATTGCTTGCAGGTCCAAAAGATCACCAAAGAGTCTGAGATATTTAATTAAGGCTTGATAACAGAGGTGTACTGATCAACCATGCTCAATTATTTAGGACAACTTAAGGAAAGGTTAGCCATTGACTTAATAACCTGGGAGAGTTGTTACAAACAACCAGAGTTGCCATTAGTTTGACTTACATCCGAACCTTTGAGCAGCTCACGTCCCCATTATTTGCTAATTATGATATCTGCTTAATACATAAAAACAGAGCAGAAAAGCATCTTACTCTGGTGGCATATATCCAAATGTACCAACAAGACGTGTGGGCATTGATGTACTTCCTACTTCAGTGAGTTTTGTTAAGCCAAAATCTGCAACCTGCAAAATAATTATTTCATTATGATTATGTTAGCACAGAGTCACATGAATAGGACCACAACCAGAGGGGCGTTGTACCAACCTTCCGTGGAAGTTTTTGTCTATCAGAATATTTGCTGATTTAATATCACGGTGGATATAGACAGGAACAGTATGCTCATGGATATATTCAAGTCCTCTTGCGGAATCTAGGGCAATTTGCACTCTAGTCAACCAAGGCAGTGGGTCCCTCCCTGGAACAGATAACACAGTAATTACAACTGTATTGAATAGACTATTCTTTCAACAGTGGTGGTTATTACTCATGTCATCTCACCTGATCCTTGCAAATGTTCGCTTAAGTTGCCATTTTCAATGTATTCATAGACCAGGAAAAGAGAACCCTCAACGCAATACCCTATCAAGCGCACCTGCATCAGATGTCAACAAATTATGAAGCAGAGAGTACCACCAGTAGCTCTTGTGAAAGTTGCTATATAGATCGTTCATAAATCAGAATCAAACTTATACCATCTAGCTGATCCCTCAAAATTGCCTTCGGCAAATATATAATGAATGTTTATGTTGGAGTATAGATAGTCTAGTTTATTAGGATTTTTTTTTTCTTTTTTACCCTTACTATGATTTTTATATTTTGTCTAAACTATAAGGATGTTTAAATCTGTATTATTTTTGGATATATATATGGGGCTCTACTCTTAATTTGAGTATCCCTTTTTGACTCACATATTTCTCTAGTTGGTATCCGAGCCAAAACCTAAGCCCCTAACCCTAACCCTAACCCTAGCCTCCTACACCAGCAACCAGCAGCCTCCACTCAACAACTAGTGCCGCCACCAGCAACCAGCAACATACACCGAAACCGACTGCCTTCCACCGAAACACTGACAACACTGAAACACCGAAACTCCAAAACGTAGTCAAAACCAGCAACAACCAGCACCCAGCAACACCATTAAACGACTGCTGCCATAACCCAGTAGCACCGACTGCTGCACCGACATCAAACGATTGCTGCCATAACCCAGATGTGAAGAATGCGTTTCTTCACGGTGATCTGGACGAGATTATTTATATGGATGCACCACCGGGCTTTCGTGGTGAGGGGGAGTATGCTGGAAAGGTATGTCGACTGCATAAGTCTCTTTATGGACTGAAACAGTCGCCACGAGGCTGGTTCTCTCGCTTCAGTGATGTAGTCGTACGATTGGGGTTCACCAGGTGTCATTCTGATCATACCTGCTTTATTCGACGGAATACTTCTGGACAGTGTGCCATCCTTCTGGTATATGTTGATGATATTATTATTACTGGTGATGATGTTTCTGGAACTGCGCAGGTCAAGATAGACCTTGGGAAGGCCTTCGATGTGAAGGACCTTGGATTTCTGCGATACTTTCTTGGGATTGAGGTTGCCCGTAGAAGCAGGGGTGTTGTTCTTTCTCAGAGAAAGTATGCTTTGGATCTTCTTTCAGACATTGGGATGTTGGGGTGCAAACCGGCATCATCACCCATGATTCCAAACCTGAAGCTTACTGCTGAAGGTGAGGAGTTGAAAGATCCGACAGTTTATCAAAGATTGATAGGTAGACTTATCTACTTAGCCAATACTAGGCCAGACATTTCATTCACAGTCAGCCGAGTTAGTCAGTTCATGCATAAGCCATGTCAGTCTCATCTTGATGCAGTTTATCATATTCTTCGGTACCTCAAGTCTTGTCCTGGACTTGGGTTGTTTTATGCATCAGGATCTCAGACCTGTTCTCTAACCTGTTATTCAGATTCAGATTATGGGGGAGCATGTGATGGTCGATTTATTACGGGTTTCTGTGCTTTTCGAGGGACCCATCTTATCTCTTGGAAGAGCAAGAAGCAGACAGTTGTCTCCCGCTCGTTCGCAGTTGTCTGGCCTAGTATTAGCCAATACTAGGCCAGACATTTCATTCACAGTCAGCCGAGTTAGTCAGTTCATGCATAAGCCATGTCAGTCTCATCTTGATGCAGTTTATCATATTCTTCGGTACCTCAAGTCTTGTCCTGGACTTGGGTTGTTTTATGCATCAGGATCTCAGACCTGTTCTCTAACCTGTTATTCAGATTCAGATTATGGGGGAGCATGTGATGGTCGATTTATTACGGGTTTCTGTGCTTTTCGAGGGACCCATCTTATCTCTTGGAAGAGCAAGAAGCAGACAGTTGTCTCCCGCTCGTTCGCAGAGGCAGAGTATCGGGCATTGACACTTGGCACGTGTGAGATTATCTGGCTACGATCAATTCTTGGCGAGTTGAGTTTTTCAGTGACCTCTCCATCCACATTATATTGTGATAATTAATCTGCTATTCAGCTCGTTTCTGACTCTGTACTACATGAGAGAACGAAGCATATAGAGATCGATGTTCACTTTCTTCGGGAGAAGGTCAGCAGTGGTCTTGTTACTCCATCGTTTGTGAGGACCAATGATCAGGTTGCGGATGTTTTTATCAAACCTGTCACTCTGTCTATTCTTCGGAACTCCGTTGTCAAGCTTGGCTTAGTTGACATTTATGCGCCTAGCTTGAGGGGGAGTGTTGGAGTATAGATAGTCTAGTTTATTAGGATTTCTTTTCCCTTTTTTACCCTTACTATGATTTTTATATTTTGCCTAAACTACAAGGATGTTTAAGTCACTCTGTATTATTTTTGGATATATATATGAGGCTCTACTCTTAATTTCAGTATCCCTTTTTGACTCATATTTCTCTAGTGTTTATTAAGGTAACTTATTAGTTCCAGCATATCATCTGAATTGTACTGCCACACAATCTGGTCATATAAGCTGATTACCAGTTAGCCTGGTTTTGGCCGAGGGGTGGTAATGTCTCACTCCTAATATTTTAGTTTGATTTTCATAATGGAAAACCGTTCCAACTATGCATATCGTTCAAACTCATGACTACAAGACAAACTCTAGATGCTTGCAATCACCCGCAAAACTTAGCAAACAACACATACAAGAGGACAGTCAAAAACTTCCTGAAATCAAAATCCCATCTATTGTGAAAACAATACTCTAGATGAATTGGAACTCAAATGTCAATGTGAAAGAAAAAAAAGAGCGACAGCCTCTAAAGAAAAAGACCAATATTGCCTGGAAAAATAGTTTACCAGGTTCAGGTGATGAACATGCGTTAAAACCTTTAACTCGGCTAGAAATTCTCTTGATGCTTGCATATCCATCTTCTTGATTGCAGCTTTCTGCATAAAAGTAGATAGGCAAAGTCACTAAAAATAATATTGACACTAAACATCAGAAATTAGTATGACGTCACCATTGAAATACTAATTCATGGGAGAGTATGTCGACAAAGGACATTTCAATAAGCATCAAATCATTTAGCAACTGTACTCTTCACCCACTCTGAACTATGCTTCAATAAGATTTACTCAAAATAATATTTTGATAAGTGAGGCCATACTGACATTCTCATCTTCCCTGATTAATGGGATCACCAGAGTTGTCCCATAAAAAGCCATTCCTTGATGAACTTCATACATACACCAAAGAAAGGACATCACAAAATAAAGCTTACTTAATGTCGACACATAATGTGATTACTCACAAAACTCAGCTAAGATCAATCGCAACTCATTATTAATCAAAGGAACAGCATGCAATTTCCCAGTTTTCCCTTGTTTTGTTAAATGATAATAATAATGGCTACAAACCTCGCCTCTGAGCTCGGCATAGTAAACCGCACCAAAGCCACCTTGACCAATTTTATTAGCAATGCTAAAGTCCTTAGTAGCCTTCGCAAGCTCTTCATATGAGAACTCCACAGATTTGTCGACAGTTATGCCAGTAAGACGTGGAGAAGCACCAGCAAACCCAGTGGACCCCGCAGCTTCAGGACCTCCAGAAGCTTACCTCGGGAGAGAGCAAAAAAAATGATCAGTGAACCCATGTACAATCACCAAATTGGTCATATTCTCTTGCATAAGAGAGGCAAACTAGGAATCTATGAGAAGCTTGCTTGAAGCTTTAGCGATCAAGTTATTTTGTAATCATAAAACAAATTAACAATTCACAGGCACCAAGTTCATCTGATATATTGCAGAGAATATGTATAAATCACACTGTGAATGATTTACAAATTCTCTTTATCAAACCAAGGCACATATACTTTATAAAACCAAAAATACCGCAACCTTGCAACTAAAGTTATCGATGCTTGATGACAGATGTTATATGCCTTTTATCCTGTGGCCTGATGCTATTGCTGATTGCGTATCCATTTCATTAGCCTCAAAATGGGCCAGAAGTCAAGCTCATAAGAAGCCAAACTATCTAGTCAGACCCTTAAAACAGTCCAACAGGAAGCGCACGACATGTTTGGCTATCCAGGAAAAAAAGGCATTGTGGAGCACCCCTTTCAAATGTAACAGTCCAAAGAAACAGATTGAAAAGCTAAAAAGAAAGGAAATATTGAGAATTACCATGAGCAGCATGACGAGATTGACCTACAGGTGCTGTTGAGACCATTACAGTGTTCTGCACCTTCTTGTTCTTGTAAATTCCAAAATATAAGCAACCTCCTAATGACAGCACTACTACTATACATGCAACTGAAACTCCAGCTATGGCACCAGTTGATAATCCTAGTTATATAAGAACAAGATATCTATCAGCTTAAGTAGCATGAAGGCTCCAAATTATCATCTCATGCATCCAAGTATAGAAATGAAGAAAGCCAACACTGAATTTCTATGAAGGGAAGGCAAGACCACCTGTGCTGCAAAACAAAAAATTATAAATAGAAATCACGTTAAGAAAATACATAAAAGGCGCAAAGATGAAATGAGTAACAATAAGCGTAGTTTTATAAACACATTGAAGTAAAAAGAAGCTACCTGGTTTTCAAGCGTGGATAGTTTCCACTTCTATCTGCACATGTAAAAAACGAACAACAAAATGGTAAGAGAATGTCTACGACGTCTACGTAGCACATGAGAATAAGCACATCCAAAATGCAACTAGCTAATGGGAATTTCTATTGAATCAACTATGTGATGATTATGAGTTCATCACATAGCCAGGATTTCTTTCCCACGGTATTCATAATCTAATGAAGAATGCACAGTGTTATAAATTCATTATTTTGAATGTGTCCTTGTGTTTAAAACCTATAATGACCTTATTTTCTCTAAGTATTTGAATGAAAAATAGGTGTGATGGATAAAAAAAAAATGCTCGTTTCAATGATATGCGGCCAAGCTCCCTCACTTCATGTTTCAATGAATCAGTTAGATCTACTGCTGTATTGCTTACCTCAACAATTACCCAGGTCAAGCACAATAACTCATCATAATTAGCCAATTTGTTAGCATATCGTTCCAAACATCTTGCACCCCTTAACAAACCACTTGGTATCATCCTTGGGGATCATGCCATTCAATTATTATGTGAAGCACAAAAATGAGCTCCTAACTAAGAAATTATACGAAAATTTTGAACAAGATTATGAGTAGAGAATTTCTATATAAATTGTCAATCAAACGTACTATATCATTAAGTTTTCGCTATGTTCTAGGAATCAAAATTTCACTTACAATAACAGTAATTTTTCATTGCACGCACATTTGCCATTGATTGCAATACAAACAAACCACCAACCCACATGTTAGAATCACAATTTATCACAAAAAATAACACACTCAACAATACAAACAAACCACCAATCCACATGTTAGCATCAAAATGCATCACCTAAAATAACACATTCGAAGTTAAACTATGAAAAATTACCTTTGCCCGGAATGTAAATCAGACCACTCCCGGCTCTAAAATTCGAATTGGGATTATAACTCATTATAACATCCGCAGTGAGATTCGTCTGCGCCACAATTGACTCCAAAGTCTCATTAGGCCTTAAAGGGTACGTGACAAACAACCCATACTCCTTCGAAACTCGACTATCCCCACACGAACAATTCACCGTCACATTAAGCGTCGCATTGGTGTCAGGAATCCGATTAGGATCGTAACTGTTAAACCTCGCCACCCAATCCGCCGTCGTTAGATTCGCATAGTATTTTTCCGCAACCCGAATATACGTATCGCCGGACCGAACATTGTACCTAAACACATGCCCCAAGAATTCCCCGTTTATACAATCACAAGAAAAGGGTATGTAAATTCTGGTGTAGGATTGAACACTGTCTTGATTTGGGATTTCTCGGTTGTAACTGAGAATATCGTTGATCGATTCGTTGGAAACTTCGGCTATGAAGGTTAAATTCGATTGCGGCCACACATAGTATGAACCAAAGGCCAAATCACAGCCTCTAGAACACTTTGATTGGACTGTGAAACAAATTGAACTCAAAACCCAGAACCCTAAACCCAATTTGAATTGGGATGACATATTCTAAAGGGTATATGAAATTTTTCTTGATTCATTTGAAAATGATGAAGAAAAATGAAAAGATTGGTACTGTTTTTGGAACGTTGACGCGTTTTTTTGTTTATTTGAAATTAGTTTTGGAGATTGGTTGGAGAAAAATGATTGAATTGAGTATAAAATTTAGATTCAGAAAGCTTTGTTTATGGATTTTTTTTAGTTTAGATTAGTGGTAGGAACGTTGAACATTGATTGAAGGTAGGTTTGTAGTGTAGCGGTGTGAGAGAGGAGAGAGGTAATTTAAAATTGCCGCCATAGATTTTCGTTTCAGTTATGAAAGTCGTTTTCGCGGGAGAGTGGAACTTCTAACACGCGCCGTTTCCCCAATAATGTTTGTCATGGGAAAGACTACCATGTCAACGACGCGGTGTAGTATCGCAAAAATAGAATTTTTTAGGGGTAAGTTATAAATTATAATTTTTAAAGCTACGATCGATTCTAAAATACTGTGTTTGGTCGTGAAAATCATAACTTTCAAATGTCGGGTTATAATTTTTAAAAGTCAAAATATAATTCATTAGAAAAAAATTACAATTGGTCGACAGAAGTTCACGATCGATCGTTCATGATGTCTCGATTAATTATAATTTCTTTTTTTAAAAGTGTAACATGACAATTAAAGATAGTAACTTTCGATATATAATCGATTTTTTTTTTTTTTTTTGTATCGTAGACTTTTCCATGTTATTGGCTATGAAGCACGATACTTTGATTGGATTGGTATATCCGTATCTGATATGTATCGAATACCAATATTATCGAATATTCATGAATGTTTATCAATATTTTACATGTATTAAATAATTAATATTTATCATTTTTAAATACTTGTCTAATATACCTCAAGTGCACATATTTTCATGGTATATACCTATGCCATATATTTAATAATGTGAGTTATATAGAAAACATGAATCATACAAAAAAGAATTTTTGTTCCAAGATGTTCGTGTGCATTACAAATGTTACAAAGCTAATTAATTCTTTATAATTTATTTAGTATGAATAATGAGAATTTATGAGTTATATCAAAATCGATAAAATCTAATATAATTAAATTCTAAATAAAAGTTGATGACTCTCAAAAGGTGACACATATTTTAGGATCAAATATATGTCATATATTTTTTGGCACGAAACAATATCGTAATAGTAATACAAATAAAAGTATTACAATTTAATCAATCTATTCGTTAATAAAATATAATATAATTAGATGTACATACACTCAAGAATAACAAATTTTAAACTCCACTATAAACAACAAAGGAAATGTCTAAAGGGGCCGGAGAAATACCTAAAAATGACAGATTAGATATTTTAAGAAGGGTAGAATAGATCAATAATTAGATTTAGTAATAATTAAAATAAAAATAAATTATTCGACATATAGTTTATTATTCATTTTAATAAAAAATACAATTTATTTTTAACAAATAATTTATTATTTAAATATATTTACATACAACGCACGTCGTGTATTGTTAATCTTAATAAATGCAGTGATCCTTTAAAATCATAGGCCTTCATGCCATAATAATTAATTTAATTGCAAATGTAATTTCTATTTAGATCTCCTGGATACCAGTTTTTGTCAATTATATTTAATCGAAATTAATAAATTTCAAATGTTAAGGTTCCCCATTCAAATTATTTTAAAAACATTTTAGCAAAAATAAAAGGTAACTACTATTTAATTTTTGATCAGTTCAAACTTGACTAAAATGTATATATGACATCGTTAAGTGGCGATACATCACACGGTTATTCCAAAGTTTTCATTAAAATAACTAATTGACACAGTCGCATATAGCCATGTCATTAAAAAAAAAAACAAACAAATATAACAAAAAGAAAATATCCTAAAAGATATAATAATTCTCACTTTCTACCATTAAATATTAAATTTCTTACATTACACCTTCAATGTATCAAAATTATTATAATGTGGTCCTTCTGTTATTTTTTTGATCAAAAGTCAACCTATTGACACTGACAAAAAAAAAAACAGAAAACTAATAGAAGAATTATATTAAAATACTCTTAATACATTAATGATATAATAAAAAAAACTTAAATTTTTAAAATTTGAGTCGGAGTCGAGCCTCACCTGTTCTTGTGAGTGAGGTATGATCGCCATTTGTTTCTAGCTTTTAGACCAACTCCTAAACTCACCGAGGTTGACCTTTGAGAAGCATTCCGTTGTCTACTTTTGCCGGCAATTTTTCTTTTTTGTTATATTTGTTTGTTTTTTTCTTTTTTTTTTTTTTAATGAAGTGGCTATATGCGACTGAGTCAATTAGTTATTTTAATGAAAACTTTGAAATAACCGGGTGATGTACGCCACTTAACCATGTCATATATACATGTTAGTCGAGTTTGAACTGGTCAAAAATGAAAGAGTCGTTATCTTTTATTTTTGCTAAAATAATTTTAAAATAATTTGAATTGAGAACATTCACATTTAAAATTTATTAATTTTGATTAAAGTTTTTAGTTGATCATTAAATTCGTTGAATCCTTCCTACTATAAATTTGACTTCTGTCCAATGGATTATTGAAATTAAATATAATTGGAAAATATTGATATCGAGAAGATCTGAATAGAAATTACATTTGTAAGTAGATTAATTATTATGGCACGAAGGCCCATAATTTTAAAGGATCACTGCATTTATTACGATATTGTTTAGTGATATTTTCTGGTTAATTATAAATTGTACTCTGAAATATTATTAAAATTTTAATTTGTATTCTCAAAAATCAAAATTTATATCAATGTGCATTTGAAACTATTAGCCGTCAATATACCCGTCTAAAACTAAATGAATACATTACACCTAGAACATCTTATGTTTGTCACTTAATCATTTTGGACTCCTTCACATTTAGAATATTATTCTTACGCCTCTGGACGTTTTTGTACATGTAATACATAGCCCCTTGTCGGTGATATTTATATAATAAAATAATTTATAATTCAAATTTCAAAATGACTTTTATTTTTTACAGTTCATATCACTTTATTTTTTTTTTAAAGTTAATCTAATGGCTAATATTAACACTCTAAATTTAATAGAAAAAATAGAACCCTAAAGGTGTGTTTAAAGTGACTTTTTAAAAATATTTTTAGGAATTATTTCTCATAAGTACTTTAAAAAAAAATAGTATTTGAAACCGCTCCATCGTTACCTCTACCCCCATCACCACTATCTCTACCTCTACCACTGCCACCACCACCACCGCCAACGCCATTGCCGTTATCATCGCCACCATGGTCATTGTCAACCACCACAACTATTATCGTCTCCTACCACCTCCATTGTCACCATTCATCTCTCACCTCTACTACAACCGATGTTTAAATTTATTTATCTTTCATCTGTATTTGTGATTTGATTTTAGATATGAATACAAGTATGTTTATTGTTTATTATTTTTTATTATTTTGTGCCTTCAGACACATACAATAACTAGTCTATTAATATAACTGTTAAAAAATATGATTTCATCCTAATAAAAAATTATAATTTAATACTTCCCTTTTATTTTGTAAGTCTGTTATATTTTAAAGTTTAAAATCAAACTTACAATTTGAATGATTAATATAATGCTGGTATTTTTTATAATGTTCTTTATATCTAATGCAATACATCAGTTAAATAGAATTATTTGAATGCCTAATTGGGAGAGTACTTTTAGTCATATTTGAATTCTCAAGGGTTGTAGGCGTAATATTTCAAATATAAGGGATCTACATGATTAAGTGAGAAGTATGAGGGGAATCTAGATGTAATTTATCCATTTAATTTTAGACTACAAACTGATGACTTTTAGCTTAGGTGCACATCGATAAAATTTTTTATCTTTGAAAGTGTAATTTGAGATTTTTAATTTTTGAGGGTGTAAATTAAGATTTGAACGATCTTTCGAGTTGTAATCTGATATTAATCCTACTTTTTTTAAGCAACTTTTCTAATCGAAAAAAAAAATCATCAAGAACAAGTTAAATAATGATTAATTATCATTTTGCAAAAAGTGACCTAGACCCATCTTAGTATATGCATTATTCTTTTTTGAATTGTGTATCGTTTATTATAATACATGTGAGTAATCCCCAATAATAAAAAAAAATACAAAAATACAAAAAAATGACATAAAAAAGTCTTTATAAAAGAATAGCAAAAGTCCTTTCAAAAAATATTATCATTTGATAAAAGGGTATTTTGACGAGGCATGCATATTGGATGCAAAACGATAGCATTCTAAAACCGTGTAAATCGTATTGTATAAAACTTTGACCGACGTATATCGATCCATTTATGATTATGTATATTCAAGTTCATATTTTATCGGACCCGTATCATGTATATATAATTTTTAGGCAAGTTTGTGTCGTGTTTATCATTTGCACTTGCTAATTTTGTATTGGTTACATGTTAGGCTCAAAAAATGATACCTAAAATTGTCGAAGGCCTGGGATATTCAGTGGCAGTGGCACTGAATGAGCAGGTGATATGAACTAGGCTGCAATTTGAGCGGGTCAATTCGAATTCAATTCGAAAAAAATAGGATTTGGGTTGAGGTTTTAAAATTGGAAAAATTGGAAGGGGTATACTAAATTAGACTTAATTGTAAAAAAATAAACCGAAAAAAATGTTGGGTAATGTGTATTTTCTTTTAAAAAGTGGTACATTAAACATCTTCTAATTTTACGAAAGAACTTTAATATTTCATATTTGTATGTCTTTCCTTGATTCATGTGAATTTTTTTTGGAAAGTGATTTTTGTTTTTAAATTATATTAAATGCATCTTGATTCATGTGTTATATATATATATATATATACTTGTTGTTAAATCTCGTATCTAAATTTTGAATTATCTTTAATACATCTTGATTTATGCGTTTTTTTTTTAAAAGTGATTTTGTTTTCAAATTATATTTAATGCACCTTGATTCATG